CTGTTTACCTGATCAGAAAGAAAATTAAGTTATCTGATCAGTGTTTAACTTTACAGAGAAAAGAGTGTGGACATAGTCTTGAGCTGAGAAAGATATAACAGCACCAAGACTTCAAAGTAAGAAATACAGAACAGATTTTTAACAGTTTTTAACAGTTCAGCTGATTAACCACTAGAACAAACAGCTAAGGAGTTGATCAATTCTCCATCTCTAATGTCTCTGTAATCAAGATTGAATACCTTTCTTGGTGTGTATGAGTAAAATGCAATTTGTGGTCTCAGTACAAGTAATAAGGTTTGTGGAGGTTACTAATGTAGGCTAAATTTAAGGGGATAATAGTGCCTGATTTTTAAAAACCATCTCTACTCCCAGTTAGGAGTCCAAGTTTGCTTTAAGAAAAAAACAGTTTACAGCTGTTTATCCTACTAGGTGTATTTAAGAGAACGTGCATGAGATCTGAGTAAACAGATTTTGCCAAACAAGTACCCTGTTGATCACCATATGTATCAGCCACATGACTGATTCATCATTGTGTGATCAGGAATCATAAGATTCCTTTCTTATATGTTATTTCTTGGTAGATTTCAAAGGTAGCTGAAAATTTTATTTTGTCCGTGTTTATTTGTAAACTTTCTTGTAAACCTGGATGCATGTATAGGCTAATTGCTTCTAGAGCTCTTACTGCTGACTTATTGACCTGGTTTGTGAAATTTGCTAAATAGGTGATTACACATATGCTACAGGAATCTGAAAACAAAGCCCAGCCCACAGAAAAGTAGAATTCAATATTCAGCGCCCTGAATGACATTGTATGGGACAAAAAAAAAAAAAAACTATATGGGATTATAGGGACAAAAATGTCCCTATATCACTTCATTGTTCTACATACATGTAGTTTTTCTGCAAACTACTTTGACATCAGAAGCTCAACAACAAAGATGGACATTTCTTCCAAAATTTGGACCTGCACTTCGCTCCGTGGCGGGGCGGGGGGCAGAGACTTGCCCCCTACAGCAGTTCAGTATTGATTCTGTGAATTGCCTTGAATGGTTTCTCGCCACTGAGTGTCAGGTGCTAAGCGAATTTTAATGTCGTGAGCCCTATCAGTATACCTTTGTTTCTCCATGATGGCATTCTGTTTTCTATATATTCAAGAAATCAGGCAAGATGGAAAAATATTTGGCCTTTAAATCTATAATTTCTTAGATTTGTTTATGCTTCAGTACAGAGAAGAGTTGATAGTCATGTAATCTTGTACAAATGAGTGAATCAGAATTGGTAGTTTACATAACAAAACAGGAACGAGCAAATAAATAACACGTTATTGCCTCAGGCCAAGAAGAGTTTGATTTGTGAAATAGGCACTTAAGAAAATGTACTGTACCGAGCATTTGAGGATGTTTTGCTTGCTTACTGCATAACAACAGCATGACCTCCATTGTGCAAGATACTGCAAATGCAATTGCCACCTTGCAAAAACCAACGCAGTCCTATCATCTTTAACTGAGGTATGCTAACTTATTCTAGCTAAACAAACATCCTTTATCAAGCTTTAGGGGAGTGATGAGTAACTGGCAATGACTGCTAAAGTCATCTGTATAATTTAGGGAAAATTCTGACAAGGAAATCAACTTGGATGTGAGAGTTTGAGAGAGCAGGAACTCAAGAAACAGTTTGACAGATACTGCTGGAAAATCCTTAGAGAAACGAGGGAGAATGACAACTTGCTAGCCATCTTCTGGGATCCAGATGGACATGTTCTGAGAAGAGAGGAGTACTTAACCCTACAATATTGAAAGGCGCTATAATGTTGTATTCAGGATAGATCGTGCGCTCTGTCTTTTAGCCCTAGGACTTAAAAATCTCAGCTACAAATGATCTGAGTGCTAGAGGAAAGCGTAGCCCCAGAGAACACGAACACTCAGCAAGTAGTCTTGTGTGTATGAATCACATATAGTGGCTGTAAGGTCATGTTGGTGATATTTCATGGAAAGACATTTGTGAGGGGATTTTCATTATTGCCATATCACCACAGTTTCTCTTTCACCAGAAGCGGGTAGTATTCTTTTTAGTCTGAAGACTTTTAAATGCTGCATCTTGACCTGCATTCAGAATGACTTTGGCTTTTTTTTTAGACTGTAGCTCTGAGAGTGGCTTCTCTGTCTACTACTAACAGACAAGTATTTTGTCTCAGTCAGTGTCTTTTATGTCAGTTCATCTAGGTTTTGATGTGTAGATTTTCCATCTTTTTGAGAGAATAGTGCAGAATGTATTACCAAATAAAAAGCCATCATAAGCAGCAGTCTTGATTTGCTAGGTCCCTCACACTGTTCCAGTCTGCAGAAATTTCAGTGCACACCATCAGGTACTACCAATCTGATTAGTAATTGGTTTCAATCCTTCTGCTATGCTCTTTTTAGCCACCAGAGGTGACAAAACATGAAGGAAAAGGTGTTGTTAAATACTTTCCATTTCTTAGGATCATTTGGCGGAAAGAGAGAGAACAATCTATTTGTAACCGTTGAGCTAGCTTGGCTAGCTCATACAGTACATTGTAGCACACAAAATATGTGACTTAATAACACATTATCACACAAGTCGTAACTTCAGGATTGAAACATGAGCACTCACAGCCTGCATGATGGAGAGGGTGGCTGAAGTGTTTAGGTGTAGCTGGGCATGGCAGGCTATCTTGCAGTGTGCTTCACCAATTGCAGTTCTCTAAAGTCGCCTTTGGTTGTAACCTTCTCTTTTGTACAGTGTGAACAGAGGAAGGAAAAAATTCTTTGGAGAGAAGTTCTGGTGTGGTGACAGCTTCACCGGGACTTTTAAGCAGAATGGGGTAGTGGTCTGTCCTGTCTCTCCTGCTGTTGTCTACAAAATAAAGGCATTCTGCTTTCCCTTTCCTCTTTATGATTCTCTAGCTTGCAGTTGACTTTACACTGCTTTCTACAAAAACTTTTTCTATTGCTTTTCTCTGTGACCTTTTGCCAGCCTCTCTGAGTTTCAAAGACATAAGCAGTAACCTGGACGTTGAGTGTCTGCCTCACTGCATGCCTGGAATCATAACGGAGTCATAGGAAGACAGTGAGCTAGCTGACATTTACTAGCCATGGTACAACAGGAGCGCAATGATGTAAAATCGCTGCTAAGAGCACCCACCTCTTTGTTAACTATTTAATGATAAACAAGTGCTGACCTGTCCTGTACATCACAAAACAGCTGCTTTAGACAAAGAGCAACTCGCAAGAGTAAGCTTTCATTATGGAAAAAAAATCCACTGTTTTTTCAGGCATTCTTTATAAATTAGCAAAATGCCTCCACCAAGGACCAGTGGACAACATTAGAAATTCAAATAAATCAGCTGTGTACTTGCTCAAATGCCTAAATGTACTAAATTAATCTTGCATTTAAGAAATAAAGCTACATTAACATTTTGATGAAAAGTCGGTTGCTTATATTCTTCCCAGTTACAATGTGTCAAATCTGAGATCCTAGCAGTAGGAAAAGATTACATCTTTTATTCTTGCCTCCTTTAGGCAGGCTAGAGACAGATACACTTTACCTTGAACATTTGTATCATAACTCATCTTACTGTGATATGCCTTAATATGCAAAATAAAGAGCAGTCCAGACATATGTGAATCAAATTTATGTTTAGATGTCACCAAAAAGGAAAAAAAAAATTATTAGTTCAATATTACTTAGCAAGAAAGCAAGATTCTGTCTTGATTCACTGAAATAGAGTTTTTATGCGGAGTGTGTGCAGGATCAGTTTCATAGGGATTCATGTACGTTAATGCTATGCTTACAGGTCCACAAATGCTATGGGGAATGGGAATTCTTCACTATACATTACAGACCTAGATAGCCAAGGTAGCTGCAAATATCAGGGATTCTATAGCCCTGTTATTGCCATGCTCTACTCAAGGACATTAGACCTGAACAGGAATAATTATCCCAGGCAGAGCATTGGATTAATGGTTACACTTCTTCTGGTACCTTCATGAATAGGACTGCAAACTCTGCAAAAATACACATTGTGAACCAAAGAGAATGCATCACTATGAGCAACACCTGCAGACCGTGCACATTTTGAGGTCATTGTTTTTCTGGCATAGCTGTTTCACTCTCTGACTCCATCATGGGCTTTTACAGCTGCCTTCCTCCTCCTCACTGTTTCCGGGAAATGAGAAAATGGGAAATTCTTGTTCAGTTTTGACGTGGAGTATGATCAAAGCAGGAAGGGTTTTTTTGCAGAGTTCTAGCTATTCCCTTGTTGACTCAGTTTTCCAGAGAAGTAGGAACTCAATGAAAAGCTTTAACAAGTAAAATGGGCAAAATTAAAATGTACTGACGTAAGAGAGCTTGATAACAAAAATTTTGTAGGCTTTTTAAACAAATAATAAATTTCCTTTTAGGCTAATATTTAAAAAAAAAAAACCACTTTAGTTTGTCAAATGCTATATTAAAGTAAGGGGAGAGTGTGTATCAAACTAGTCTGCAGAAGTCTAACATTTTCAGTATGTTCAGTGTCCTGGTTTTATCTTTTCATTTTCAGTCTAACAACTGCTAAAATGATGACCAAACATTTAAAATACATTAAAAAAAAATTATTTAGCCTACTCTTGCCTGAATTGGATTGCATTTCCCTGAAGTCCTCTAAACAGTCCTGGATGCTCTTGCTTTATTTTGCTAATATATATTTCCTGGATTCTACTCAGTTATTGAATAGATTACTGTACATGACTTCTTTAGAAGTTAAGTTTACCTTAAGCTTTTTCTAATATACAAAACCTTGAAGAAGTTAGATATCACTTGGAAATGCATGTTTATCTCTGTCAAGTTCTTCAAGGAGGCCATACCAGGCAAATGCCTGAGTACAAGCCTCACTGAAGTGTTCTAGGGTATTGACAATAGCCTATGCCTTGCACAGTATTGCTTCCATGTTAATTTCATTCTCCTTAAAGAAATTTTGGACATTTAATTTTAAATTTTAGGAGCGTCTTCTACTTTCTTTACTGCCTGCCCACATTGCCATGGAAATGAAAGCAGAGATCATTCAGAGGTTACAAGGTCCCAAGGCAGGCCAGCTGGAAAACACCAACAACTTCCACAATTTGTATGTCAAAAGGCACACCAATGTAAGGTATTGTACTATCATAAAATGTATCAATGACGTTCAGAAAAATTTTGAAACAAGTTAAGAGACCGATTAAGAAAATAATTGTTTTAATATGCTTTTCAAGAGCTTAATCTTTAGTAACCGTTAATTTGATCAAATGCTATCAATTCAGTGTTCCAGAAGAGCAACAAAGATGATAACACAAAGGCGTTGTTTAGAAAAAGCCACACATTAACAGTCTTAATTTTTCAGGTTAAAGTACCAAATCCTGCTTTCATGTATACTAGTCAAAACTGTAATTCGTGTCAGTTATATTATTCTGAATCTGAAATTTTCTTAACTGGCGCAATTTCTCAGGTTTTATATAGTGTAAATAGAGGCAGCTGTATCACATATGTATTTTACACAGTAACAGATAAAATATTCTGCTGACAAATCTGATTATTTATTAATTATACATTCTTTCATCTTTACAAGTTGTTTTGCCTGTTTGGTTTTTTTTTTTAACTTGGACATGTTAATTTGAATTACATTCTTAGAATTTACATTTTTAAAGCAAGTATTGCAGGAGTTCTGAGGAAGTACATTTTCACTTGCAAACACAAATACTTTTTACTTAGCCTGATTCTAAGAACTGATCAAGTTTTCTTGGTGAATAGAAACATAGGGTATGGCCTGAATATCTTAGCAATCAAGCTTGAGTTTAATAGCCTGAGTAACAAGTGAGCAAAGATTTCCATGCTGCATATCATTGACAGGGAAATCTAGACAGAAAAGGTATTAAACAATTTCTGATAACAAACATGTTTATTGAAATAATTGCCATTATTATACTGCCAATTTTTAAGTAGGAAAAAAAATTCTGTTTTTTGAATACACTGTAACAAATATAGGTATAGAATGCCTATAAATATAGGATACCTGTAAAGGTAATACCTGTGTGGGTAATACCTATAAAGGTAAAAATAGGTATATATTACATATAAATGTAATGCCTGTAAAGGTAAATGTACATTTACCTATAAATATAGTTTATATATATACATATGTATATATATAAAACTATAAATATAGTTATGTTTATTGCTCTACATTTAGCAGTGGCCATTTTGCATATGGGCATGCATACCTCTGTGAAGTCCAGAATGCCTACTTTCAGGTTTTGCTGTTGATTGATAAATCTAGGTTCTGCAAAAGGAAACTGTGACTAAATTTCTATTCATTTCTGTCGTAGCATCTTGTATGCTGATATCGTGGGATTCACTCGCCTGGCCAGTGACTGCTCACCAGGGGAATTGGTGCACATGCTGAACGAGCTGTTTGGCAAGTTTGATCAGATTGCAAAGGTGGGTTTCTACTGGGCTGCTACAGTTAGTTTAAGTAAGTAAGTAATCTTTAAAATATTTTTTTCTTCTTGGGGACTCTTCTACCTCCAGACAGCATTTCTGAGGCTTTGGCAGGAAGATTAGACTTGAAATGTGTGAATAAAAAATCTGGCTCTGGTCTGAGTGTAACAGTGTGTTTCTGCCAGTGTGACAATCTGTGAAACCCAAGATAGCTCTCTCTAATAGGACCAATAGAGACAGCTCATGGAGCCCTATAAAGCTTAATGGAAGGTGAACGGCTCTTTAAATAGATTTTTTACAATAGCAAGGATTAAGAAACTTCAGATATACAGTCAGATTTCTGATCTCTGGAAAAGCATTTAAGAGACTGGAGACAAGGGAGACAACATTGATCAAAGCAATTTTAATTACTGACCACAGCCTCTTAATTACTCAAGAAAAGATTCAAATATAATCAGAAGATTTTCTTCCGTTTATTTAGGTGTCATTTTTATTAAAATTACATCAAACTTCATGGTATGTGAAGGTGGAATCAGAAACACTAAATTTTTTTATTAGTTCAAAACTATTGTCCAGTATTGGTTAAAAAAAAATAAAAATCTTTATATTGCCTTAGAGTACAAGATAGAAATAAGATTATGATTGCAAGTTTCAGGAAGTATTGCATAGTACATCTTCAAAGATGTAAATATGGAAGGCTAGGTCTTTTGCTTTCATATTTCAAACAAAAAGACTTTATTTAGACTGAGTACAGGATACTTTGGCTCATTTCTTTAATCTAAGGTATGAACGACACTGGAGATACCTGTTTTGCAGTGAACTTACCTCCTCGTTTTGCCCATTAAGGACCATAACAGATGGAGGAATCATCTGCACAGAACTCTCTGACAGCACTTCTTTTCTAGCAAGCCAAATCCTTCTCTACTGAAACAAGCTTAAGTAGAATGATTTTGCTAATATCATTTAACTCAGTCTTTGTAACAGTAACCCTTCATTTATGTAATTCAAGTTGAAAGTGACCATCTCACCTTGCTTTTTCCTCCAGGAAAATGAATGTATGAGAATTAAAATCCTAGGCGACTGCTACTACTGTGTTTCTGGACTACCTATATCTCTTCAAAATCATGCCAAGAATTGTGTGAAAATGGGACTGGACATGTGTGAAGCCATTAAGTAAGTGCTGAACCTGTTGTTAAATATTCAACAATAAAATCATGTCTCTTTTCTATCTGTAGCAGACAGACCTGCAGTAGTTGGTGTGTTTCACTACAAGGTCCAGCATGGTAATCTTGATCTCAGCCTCAGCAAAGTAATGTTTTATTTGTGCCAGGCTATCTCGTCACCACACCATAAAGATGATTAAGGGCCTGCAGCATTGCTTATATGAGGAAAAGCTGAGAGAGCTGGGGCTGTTCAACCTGGAGGGGAAAAATCTCATCAGTGCATTTAAGTACCTGAAAGGAGAGTGCAAAGAGGATGGACCTAGGCTCTATTCAGTGATGCCCAGTGACAGGACAAGGGTTGATGGGCACAAACTGAAACACAGGAGGTTCCCTCTGAATATCAGGAAACACTTTTTTCACTGTGAGGGTGACTGAGCACTGGTACAGGCTGCCCAGGGAGGTTGTGGAGCTTCCAGCCTTGGAGATACTAAAAATACAACTGGTACAGCCCTAAGCACCCTGCTCTAGCTGGCCCTGTTTTGAGCAGAAGTTGGACTAGACAATCTCCAGAGGTCCCTTCTGACCTCAACTGTTCTGTGAATCTGTGATTACGAGATGTTAAATATCCCAAATAGACATCACTTGGGACTTGAGAAGCTTTGGTTTTTGCAGAGTCATGGTGCTGCCACCCACCCATTAGTCAAACGGCTCTGTGAGAGGCCAGAGCTCCCGGCTCCTGATGAGTTTGGAGCTCAGTGGTGGTCAGGAACAGTTGCCCCTTCACAGTTAAGATGCCTCAAGCCTTGAGCCTGTGGAGTGATACTGAGCTTGTCGACCAAAGACATTTCTAATGTCTTACAGATTCCTAGGCTGAGAGGCCTACTTCCCATTTTGTTAAATAAGCAATAAAATGTGCCTGTCTTAGTAGACCCCAGGTTTAGGTTTAGTTTCACCTTTCCTGTAATTAATGATTTAGGAGATCATTTTTGTCAGTTAACACATTAAGGAACCATTGAGAAGTCTCTGCTTATCGGCAGTATTTTGGATTTGTCGGTTCCTGTATTTGTCCCTTAAGTCGTTGTGCTTGTTCTGTCTTTGAAACAGAAAACAGAACAAGGTATTTGAGAATCCGAATGTGTTTGGTTTTGAAATCGTAGTTGTAACTTACTTCAAGTAGCTCAAATACTGTAAATGTTTATTTATAGCAGTTATCATTAATGGCACAAATATCTTTTCTGTAAGAAAGCTAAGTTTCCTTTGACTAAAATTACAGTATATTTAGGTGAGCCACACTTTGCAAAAACATGTATCATGTGGAGGTCTGTATATTTGGTAGTCATCTGTGTGATTTGTTTTTTTTAAACAACTGGACTTTGGTTTTAAAACTTGGTATGCTCTTCTGTAAGTTTCAGTTCTAATTTTTATGGGTTTGCTCAAATCACATTTACCACTGTCCAGGTAGCAAAGTAAGCAATTACCTCATCCTTGTGCACACCAAAAAAATGGATAGTTATATTGAACAGTGTTGTCTCAGTGATTGACTAAACAGGCATATAAAAGTGAGTCCTCTGATCCTTAAATACTACCCTCATGTGTGTGTAATTGTCGTCACAAGAGGGTTTTGGCTTTCTGTTGCCTGGTCTTGTGTAATTACTGTATCAGTAGGTTGATTAATGCAAATTTGGTTCTTTTCCTTTTAAGGTATTAATGGAAAAGGTGTAGTATTTGTGGAAGTGGGATTTTTATCTCTTTGCTTCAGGGATCTTTTGTAAAACTAACCTCAGTACAGGAATCAGCTTGCTGCATTTTCTAAAATGTTTTTTCTTCATCCAGATACGGTTGTACCTTACATTTTGTCCAAAGAAATCTATTTTTTAAAATGATACTTGGAGTACTACTTCTTGCCAAGCATTAAAAGCTACAGAAATTGGTTGTTTCCTCAGTTGCTTTCACTGGATGCTTTCTCTTTTTCATTTAGATATACTAGGACATTATTATAATTAAACCAATTGCTTCTCTAGCATATTAGGAACTAAAGCTGACATCCCTTCAGTAGAGCAGTAGGTAAAAGACTTTCTGTCCCTAAGTTCTGACTCCCTCCCTGTTTTGGGCATTGGCTTAAAGATCAGGCTGATGGAAAAACAATACTAAGCTCGAGCAATAAATTGTCCTTCATGAAGAACTGAAAGTATAATTTTACACATCACAATGCAACGCTTTACTTGAGCTCAGAGAGCAATCTGTCAGTTCCTCACACTTCAGAACTTCCCAATTTTTTTTGAAATAACTTTCTGCTCAAGCTGATATCAAGTATGTTTATTGTTAATGCCGGATGATAGGGTCCTCCTTGAAAACAGCAACCTTATAGAGTAGAAAATTATCTTTTAGCTGTATAGCACATTCTGATCTGACTTTGTTACAGTAGTCAGAGTTCACAATGCTTCCGTAGACAGATGCCTGATTATCACAGCCTGTTTACATCTCTGTAAGAAGTGAGGAATCTGTACCCCGTGTTTTGAAATGCTTTCAAACTATTATGTCAAGTGTTGCAGCCTGCAGGTGAATAGAAATTACTGATTATTAATGAAGTCCGTATTTTGTTGTGTGATTGCTGCATCTTTGTGTGGAAGCATCTCCTGAAATACTTCTGTGGCCTGTAAAACTAGAAGTAGTAATACTCTTGCTGTTGGAAGTGTGTCACATAGTATATGTTTGAATCACTCCATCTAAAATATCTTTTTTGTCAGATATGAGTTTTTGTTATATTCAGTCACTGAGGTGCTAACTGACCTTTCAGTGCATGTTACTGAAATAAAGCAGTTTGCTGTTTAGATTAACAGCTCTACATAGATTTTACCACCTGAACGTGGTTTCAGTTCCTGTTCTGCCAAACTACCAGGTGATCTGTAGCACAAAGGCTTATTCAGTCCTTTCTCCTAATGATATGTAGCTCCATTTTGAGCAATTCGGCCTCACTATGCTACAGATTGTTTCCATTTAAATGTGTTAGTAGTCCCATTGATTAATTGTTTTGCTTCTCTGCTCTGTGTTGGAGCAAATCCAATGTTTCTTATAGTCTGCAGCCTGCTTGCCTGGGAGTGGGCTGCTCACCTTATCAAGCCTTAGATGCCAGCGCTGCCTGTGATGTTGAGAGCTGGCCACCCTAATTGGGTGCTTTAAGACCAGAGCTTATCTGTTAGGGCAAAATATGTTTGTGTGTGTATATATATGCTGTTTTCCTTCAGCCCAAACTCCACCCTCTTGTCTGTCTGGTGACTTCCAAATTTACATATTTCTCAGCCACACATTCTCAAAAGCTGTCTTTGATTTGGTAGCGTGAAATGAGTTCCATTCAGAGGAAAGCCAAAGAAACTGTTGGATGAGAGGGTTGCACCATTTTGAAAGCTAGACACAAAATAAAATAATTTTTTTAAATATGCTTTCATTCCTGCAGGTCTGATCCAACAAGGACCTATGCTTTTAAAGCTAGCAATTTGCAGGGAACTAAGCACTCAAGGCTCACTGAATGTGTTAAAGTGCGTAAGACAGGACTAGGTGAGCCTTCGATACATTGGTCCAGAATTACCAATGAATAAAGCTCGGATAAACAGAGTAGATGCTTTCCTCATGACCTAAACTCTTGCTCGCGTGGAGTAAAGTTGCTACAACTACCTGCAAGCTAACCATGCCTGTGAAAAACATAGAATCCTTACAAACTCAGTTTTCAGGCTGCAACAGGAAAAATACAGTCTCGATGAGTATTTTAACTGCCCAGACAGGATGGGCACACTGCCTGTGGTGTGCTGAGGGAAACTGGAGAGACCGTGGGAGGAGAAATAGAAATTATGGTTGGAAGTTTCAGATTACCTATGTAGGTAAAGGAAAGTGTCCTATGGGGATGTGATAGGCTACATTCTTAGACGCATTCAGTACCTGCATCGTCATAGCAATTGTTCAGGGCACACAGGAGAGAAAAAGCAGTAAACCCTAATTTGGTCTGGAGCAACACTTCTAATTTAAAATCTTCTGTGGTTTCTTTAATTTGTGAGACAGAATGGAAGGTTCAGTTCTGGAACATATTCTACTTGCTCCCCTCCTTAACTCCTGAGAGCTTATTATAAAGCAGATTTTATGGCTTGCTCTCCAGAATATGGCAGGGCAGCCTTTCAACAAGCACTCCTAGAGGATAAATGTTCCTCTTTCACTTTGCTCAGTTTTATAAACCACTTTTTTTTTTTCCCAAAGTGTTAAGCTTGTGTCATATTCCTTGTGCAGAGCAAAGTGATGTTTGTCATTTGCTGACTGCTTACAAAGATCATTTACAAGCTGTTCATTTTCAAGTGTGTGAGCTACAGGAGAGCAGTGTAAAATGGCAAAGTGAAAATAGATATCAATAAACACTTGATAGAGACTGAAGGAATTAAAAGAACTTCTCTCTTCTTTTTAATAACTTCAAAACACAGTTTAACAAAATACTTTTAGTCATGCTCCTGTTGTTTTCATTTCCCAGAAAAAGAACACTTGAGAACTACTGCTTACACATAGGTTTTACCATATCAAATTAAGCCCGTTAAGTTCTATGTTCCCTTTCAAAAAAAAGAAGAGAAACAGGCCAGTTTAATTATGTAATTCAGAAGGTGCTGAGAGCTGATGATTTTCATCATTGAGACTGAAGATGTTGCTAGAACTAGGAACCTGACTCATATACAGGAGCCATTTAGGTCTCTTGTTCTATCATTGTTCCTTCCATCATCGCCCTGAATTCCCCTTATCTTGGGGGAACGTATATACATGTTCCTTATTACTGGTTAAGTTTTGGTCCAGCTGAGTTGGGGCTTAAATACATAAATCCAGTTAAGTTATGATCTTCCCATTTCTTAGAACTGTATAAACCTGTAGACATCTGAATTAATTTTATAACTCTTTAGTTATAGTTTTATAACTGTCTTTAAGTACCAATATGACATATGTCTGAAAATGTTCTGGTTGTTTGACTTTAGTTACCCACCTGTGATTCAGAAGAACATCTGGAAAGATTAATGCCTATCATCTTATGCATAGGGCTTTTCTGAGATTTGGTTTGGGGTGAACAGATACTTCAACTCTGCCTAAAGTCACTGGAAAGGTCAAAGGTTTAGATGTGGTCTGGACAGTGAGGGTGGCCTCTCATTCTTTGTACAACAGTCGAGTGGGTACAATGTTCACCAACCACACGGAAGGCTGTTGAGCCTATGTTCTCCACAGCCTGAATGGCATGGAGCCCATATCCCCAAAAAGTATATGAGCCACCAGCCTGTAGAATATCCTGAGGTGCTGGCTGTGTTTTTCATCCTTCCTCTCAGAGCAGAACCATTTGCAAGCAGGCATGTAAGGGTGATGGCACCTGACAGAAGCCAGATATGAGAAGGTCTCCAACATAGATATTAGGGTCTTCAGATAGAAGGGCGCATAACAGTAGTTCCAGATTTCCAAAATACGTTTGCTGGTCTGTCACTGCGTTAAAAGCCATAGCAAAGGCTGCCTGTAGAACAAAAATAGTCCCTAGTCTACCATGAGACCGAACATTTCCACTACTTAGTTCAGCCCTCCCAATTAATTTCAAATGAGTATAAAAGAAGGGACTTCAGACATGGACTTGAGAATTAATATTTATTGTAAATAGTTGCAAATATAGCTAATAGTAAAAGTAATACATAAAATTAATCCTAGACTAAAAAGAATGGAGGCAATGCTAAAAATAAATAAATGTTATCACTGTTGTTACTGCTAATTTGACTGGTAACTGAAAAGAAAACAAAGGCCCTATTATGTGTGTTAACACAGATTTTCTTCTTAACCACAGGAAAGTGAGAGATGCAACTGGAGTTGATATTAATATGCGTGTAGGAGTGCACTCTGGGAATGTGCTTTGTGGCGTTATTGGGCTACAGAAGTGGCAGTATGATGTGTGGTCACACGATGTTACTCTGGCAAATCACATGGAAGCTGGAGGAGTCCCAGGGTAAGATACTCTGTCCCTCTGTTAACCTTTGGATACATGGCTGTTTGTACCATGGAGAAATGCATAGGTACCATGTCTTCAGCCATCAGCCTTGATGGAGAAGCCTGAACTAATTCTTAGTGCTGTCTTTAAAAAAAACAAAACAAAACAAAACAAACAGGCACTCACTATTTCCTGTGATTTAAAGAATACTTTTTTGTGGATGGAAACCTTTAGATTTATGCCCATCACAGCTTCTAAAAATGAGATTAGAAGGACTGTGAATGAAGTGAACAGCGTATAAAAAGTATATCCAAAAGCTAGTAAAAAAAGGTTGATCAGGTTCAAATTATGCTTTTGATCGGTATTTGTGATTCTGTCATTCTTTTAAAATATAATTTCAGCCGTGTTCACATCACCTCAGTCACCTTGGCACATTTGAATGGAGCTTACAAAGTGGAAGATGGGGATGGAGATGTGAGGGACCCATATCTGAAAGAGCATAATGTTAAGACTTACTTTGTAATCAATCCTAAGGTTAGTAGTACTTTTATTTTGTGGCCATAGTTATTTGTGAGCAGGACCACTAATCTCTTTATTGAATAATTCACTACCATAAGATATTGATCGGAGCTATTACTGATGTCTACAAATACTTAATGTTTGCATTGCAAATCTTTCCCGCTCTTCAGAAATAAGTCTCTGATATTTCCCAGCAATATCATTAAGAATTGCAGGTTCTTAGCATCTCTCCATTTTTAAGTTCCTAAGCATGCAGATACGTGGTACCAGATGATGAATTACTGCTTAAAAAGGTAATGAACACCAAGGCTGATATCACCTTTTATTCTCTGTCAACCAGGGAGAGAAGCGAAGCCCTCAGCACCACATTAGACCTCGACATACTCTTGATGGAGCCAAAATGAGAGCTTCTGTCCGCATGACCCGGTACCTGGAATCTTGGGGAGCAGCCAAGCCATTTGCACACTTGCACCACAGGGACAGCATGACCACTGAAAACGGCAAGATTAGCACAACAGTAGGGGCCTACTTATGTCATTTCATACAATTTAGTAATATGTGAAAGGAAAAAGGTGCTCACTGCTAAATACCTGGTTATTTCTGATAGAAGAAGATACACGTGTTTGTACAGGTCATGAACCCAGTGAAGTTGTTGGGAGCTTTTCCATTGGCATGTGAGCTTTGGATTAGACTCTAAGGAGCCATATCTTGCTATAAGTGCATCTCTGAATTATGAGGAGTCCAACATACTTCACTAAAATACACGGTTTGGCCCTCTGAGCTTGAGCCCCGGTCACAGTATGTATAGTGGCTGCTGTTCACCTTGTGGAAAGACATTTTGAGCATAAGCCAGAGGGCAACAGCTTTGGTAAAGAATACTTTTGATACAGAGACATTCCCTGAGATTTATTGGCTATTTAGCCACATTCTCTGTTTGAAACATGGCCAAACCTGGAACAAAGTCTGTGAAGTGGTACCTGGAGTGGTCTTTATTAGAAGAGTTCTCTGGGAACCAAATCTGTGCTCACTGTAACATCTACCTTTCGAATGTGCACTAACTGCTCATCAGCTGTGGCTGATAGCCTGAGTTTCACAGTGCTGTAGTGCAACGCTACACCTCTTATACTGAACAGAAAAGATTTCTTTTTAATTTTGTGAACACTATTTTATTGCTGTCAGTAAGACACTGTCAGTCCACAGCTTGTACATTGCGTTGTTTCTACTTGTAAAAAGTTCAAACATAACGGTAAATTCTAATAATTTTCAACATTGGCACTCAGTTTTGCTCCTGTTACATATGAGAACATGGGATTGAGCCACCTAAACCATCTTGTTCAATAGATACAGTGCATCAGAGTGTGGATTGTGATGTGTTCATTACAGAAAGTACCCAGTCATCACTATTAATCACCAAATAAATGTGGCTGTGATAGCTGCTTTGCTTATCAATAAAAAATAATGGCCATTGCCTGTATTTGGCCACTCCAGTCCATTTTTTTTTATTTCAGAAACATTTAACATTGTTTTTTGCTGAAGCTGGCAAGGGTTTGGGCTACATTAAAACAGTGGTGACTTTGAAGCAGTGACTTTCTAGTAAAGCAAAACATTCTTGGATTCAGATTGTTGTATTAGTTACTTTAATGTTTATAATGACAGGATCAGTTTGTGTCCAGGTCACTCCATCTTTGGTCTTGGCTGGATTTTTCTTTTAGACGGTTTTAATCTAATGCTAAAAGTATTCATATTGGAAACTTTTCTCCTTACTTGACCCTGTTTTCAACACTATTTTTAAAGCAACTTAGTGTTGTCAAAGTTTATTATGTTTCATAGGTATTTTCTTCTGGTTTCTAGGATGTTCCCATGGGACAATATCATTTTCAACGTTGCAGAGAGAGGTAAATTAATTTTTAAAAATCACTTATTCATATAAAGTCCATGGAAATACATATACATTCATATGCATTCATATGTACATAGGGCATGCTTTCAAATATTGAGGGCCATTTCTCACCCAAACTATTTTTTCAGCTGATACCTCTTACATAGAAAGGGCATGGAAACAGATTTGGCAGACCTGTTACTTGTGAGTTGCAAATACACTTCCTGCTAACAAACAGTATTATTCTGAATTAGTATAAGTATGTTGATGGGCTACTATTTGCTTCTCCTAACAACCCAATTACTCTGTCAGTGGGGAGAAAATTATAGGCAAGAAAATTGCGAGGAGGCATAGAGGTGTAAGAAAAGGGAAGATGGAAAGGGCTGTTAATAATCTGTGTTACAAAAGCTAATAATATGCACTAAGAGAGACGTATATATTTTGTTAATTGCTTAATATTTGCATTCTGTTTTATTATCTCAAAGTCTGCAGTATATTGCAGTAGTAAAGACTCAAAAGGTATTTTCTGATCTTCCTGTAGTGCTCCTGCTACACAAAATGTTTGCAAAATCACAGATGCTTCAAGTTTTCATTCTTCTGCTTGATACTTCAATGACTAGGGCAAGATTGTGAGAAATGGAAACAAGGTTGAACTTATCACTTCTTTAAAAACACAGAGAATTTCTAAATCAAGAAAAGAATGATATCTGTTTAAAAAACAAGCTTAGCACTGTCAGAAACCTGGAATGGTTAGTTTTTATTTTAATGACCCAATAATGCTTCAGATAATCTCATTCTTACACAATTATAAGTAACATCACAAATACCATAAAATCATTTGAAAGAACCCCTTAGAAATTTGTATTTTTGTTGTCTTTGGTTATGCAAACAAGTAATTCTGTCTGTTCCTTCCCCATATCTCTGCTTGGAAAATGTCACCTCAGCAAAACACAGGTTACTGGAGAGTTATGCAGTTAGCTAAAATACTGCTAAATTCCAGAAGATGAATAAGTTTCGACTGAATATGCATGATATTAATAAGAACAGTCTCTGATTTTAAAACTGAGCATTTACATTTGGACAGTATGTCAAAAGGAATTCTATCAATCATCACCCTTATGGTAAAAAGAAAAAACATTTGAGTGTGGTATTTGCATATAAGGCAATTCTTTAAGATTCTGAGATGTTCTTGCTTTTTTGTTTCTAAATTTCAGTCTAAAATAGGTGCAAAAGGTACAAAGGTTACCATGAGTCTTGATACCATATTATGGAAGGAGTTTCTAGAAACCATTACTGGAGTCTAATGTCCATAGTGAGGCATATAACTAGGATTCTAGACAAGCTAGTCAGTCCTTCCCACAGGAGAGAGCTGAAATGATAATAAGCACTTTGTAAGTCAGTATTTTATTAGAATGTGAAAATGTGGGGTTTGAAGCCTGAATGTAGGCTTCTGTTTGTGGCAGTCTTAGCTCTTATCTAGTTACATGATAGTCTTATGTTGTTAGGGATCTCCCAAGAGGGTTAAGTGTGATTAGATAATGTCTCCTCATCTTGTCTAGTTATTTCTCCTAGGCAGATTGTTTCATATGTGAAAAATAAGCTGTGAACACTTTCTTACCTAAATTCTATAGCATTGAATAGGCGTGAAGTCAGTTGGGTTGTTTAAAGTTACTATACGTACACTAATATAATTTCAGTATGAATTTGAATCCTGCAACAGGTTACCAGTTTTGGGGAAATAACCCAAAAACTTGATGCTGAAGAAAATCAGTGTTACATTTGACAGGGTTCAGTGTGTAGATTAAGAAAATTTTGATAAGCAAAGAGCCAAATTTCAGGTCTGACTGTTAACTTCTTAGAAAACACTGTTAAACACTGTTATTAGCAACAGATTTAAGTTTTCAAGAGGCAGAGACATAATCTGGCAATATTTGAAATATTCCATTTTTAAGGAGACCACAACTGCTGAAAGGACTGATGATGTTTGCAGTAACATATGTTAGCAAAGACAAGCCCATTCTAATGATCCTCTGTTGGGTTCATGCTGAGTCCAGTGAAAAGAAAAGATCCTTTTTTTATTGCAGTTGTGTTATAGAGAAACATGACATATGTTTGAAACTAATTTCAGACTTGGTGCTCAGTTTTCTTATTAAAAATAATAAAATATTTCCAAGAAAACAAGAGTTGGAAGGCTTTCTGTAGAGAATGCTTGTTATGCCTCAGTGCACTAGCACATTATTGCTCATCATACAATTCTGACAAGGATTTTTAAAAATAACTACAAGAAACAGGAATTTTTTATGAATATGAGAATATTCCCATTCTTTTTCATGAATTCATAACACCGTGGAAGACTTTTCTTCAATCAGAATTTTTTAAACTCTCTTGGTTTGGTTTCTTTATGAAATGTTTTCTTGTGCTTGTTTTTTAAGTGCTCCCTAGTAGCTAAACTCTAGTTTTTTATGTGTATGGCTGTATGTCAGACCCTGTAGCTTATGCTGGTTTTGTTAAGAGCTTATTATAAGGCTCAGTGTGCCTAAAGCCTATGGCTGCTATTGCAGCATAAATGTTAAAAAATTGTTATTACCCTCACAAGTTTATGCCAGTTATCAATCCATTGTTTAAAATTAATGTTTATTAACAATGTAAAGATTTTCCAAAGTAACTTCCCACACTTTTCATTTCAGAACAAAATCACAGAAAAGAAGGTTTGAGGAGGAACTGAATGAGAGGATGATCCAGGCCATTGATGGAATCAATGCTCAAAAGTATGTTTTTATCCTCTGTTGTCTCCTTCCTTCAACTTTGACATAAATCTGCAACAGAGAGTAGTGTTTACTATTTCTCGCTCCTGCATGCACGCAGAAGTATGAAAACAGTAAAGGTGTCACAAATACTGGCATAGGACTATCTGTGTGTGCATTGTGGAGATAGGCTGTACAGTAACATTTTCTACTATATGGGATAAGACAGTGCCTGTGAATCACGGTGTGACAGGGGTTTTGGCTTGTCTTGATCTTTATGGCAAAGGGATTTTTGCTCTGTAACTGTATCTGTACACTCATAGCCATAACTCTACAGAATTATCTCATCTGAGAGCAGAGAAGTAAGACACAAGAAATAGCTGGCTCAGGAATCAGAATGATGTGAAAATTGATGCTTCACAATTGTCACAGAAACGACTCCTCAGAATTAGAAACTTTCCCTAAAATTATAGTTTAATATCTCTTTGTTTCAAGTGGTTGGTTGATTTCTTAGAGAAGGCTAAGCTTGATGGTATTTTGAAATTGTTGGGGGAGGCAACATGCATATATTTTTTCTGTGTCCTATGAAGAGCTGGAGGAGGTATTGATGTTCTCTGTTTGCTGGTGAATAGATAAGACTGAGAGAAAAATCAATACCAGTCCAAAATAAGTGTTCAGGTTTCTTATATTTATCTGATGAAATAAGGGAATTGCCCTTCAAAAATGTGGACAATAATTGTGATGAATTACATGTTTTCCCCCCTACTTCTGTTACTCAGAATCTTAATCAGCTGAGTATTAGACCTAATTATTAAATGCTCATATGCCACATTTGTTTTCTTGCATCTGATAGTCCTATTAAAAGGTACTTGGCTTTTGGAAAATATTTTTCAGTTGTTACTTATAGAAAACAGTGTTGATAGCTATAGGTTGTACAAAGAATACATTGAAAGAGCATAGGTCATGTGATAGGCAAAGCCTTTTGATTGTACTAGACTTGCCTAAAACAGCTGTGTAAATTTTGGCTGTATCTACATGTCTTTGGGTATGCTTGCTCTGATAAGTGGATTGTAAAAATGATGGTTTGATGTCAAAAGTAAAGGATCTGTTTAAATGCATTAAAATAAAGGCATGATCATACTGTATGTTGTTTTATCTCAGAGAATCCCTGTCTTAGCTAATTAGTGCATAAAATTCAGAGAAAATTTGGAATAAGAGATGTTTGCGTGATAAAAAAGGTTTCTTAAAAAAGTTTCAGTGCATTTGGTGAATTACATGGGGAATTGCAGACCGATAAGGAATGATCTTATATATCAGAGAGGCTGAATGCCACCTTCCAAAACTAGATGCTCTACCTATCCCTGTACTGATTTGCTGAATGAATCACTTAAACGATATTATTCAATTGGTTACCTGAGAATAAATTGTCAAAAGTGCTGATTCCCCAAATGGCAAGTTAATTCAATAATACTTTACCTATGTGAATGCTAAGCAGTCAGAAAAATTAGATAAAATACTTCCTACATTTAGGATACAAAACTGATCATGTTTTTGTTTTCTTTATAGTTCTGCGGGGGTTTTGTGCCTCAATTTTTCAGCTGTAGAATGAAAATAACACTACCAACTAATCTAATGGAGTGGTTGCAAAGCTAAATCTTTTCCTTTCATGAATCAAGAAGCAAATTTTTGTGAAAATTATGAGAAAACTGGTATTTCTAAATGTTTTTAAGTGTAGTTTGGATTGTTTAGTGAATAGATCTATGACTGAATGAAGAAAACTTTAAAAACTATTGCACATAAACTATGGCATTGAAATTACCATTCTTTTAACCTTTTTGATTAGAAAATTTCATTAAAATAATTCAAAAGCAAACATTAATTGTTTCTTCCACCCTGAGCCGTCAGCATGGTCTGACTTTTTCATCCACATCATGGTTCTTTGCCATGTGTCATGCTGTGAAAAAAGTAACTGTTTACAAGCAAATGGCCACAACATGTGGGTCTTCGGACATTACAGGCCCAGGTGTTTAACTGCCGGTAACTGGAAGGTAAGGGAATGCAGAGTCTGGATCTTCTTAGTCCAAGAAAAAGCTGTAGTCCAAATGAATTTGTTTTTACACAGTGTAAAATAGAGCAGTACATAGTCAAATGGTACCTCAGGTTTTCAAAGCAGTGTAGTGTTTTCTCTGGGCTCCCTCACTCACTGCTTTCCTGCTGGTTCACAAGCTAGCTTAGCTATCTTTCCACAAAGCTGCCAAATGCCACATGCACTCGCTGTCAGTAACTCGGGGCATCTGGGTTCAATTCCTTCTGCTGGAATGCAAACTGTGGCATTTAAAAAGCAGTCTGCTGGCCTTAGAGCATGATTCAGAGTCATAGATTTAGTTGGCAACGCTACTCGCAAAGTTGCGTGAGGAAAGTTATGACCTCTTAATTCATTATTATTCTGTTAGAGCACAACATTAAAAGATATGTAAATACAGATTTAAAAGAGCGAGTGAGGAGCAAGCAAAGAGCTTCTGTCTCTCAGCTGAGTGCCTTAGCCATTAGGGTGAAACATCATACTGTCTCCACATTTCTTTTCCCCATCCCTTGAACAGAGTATTCCTGCCTGCAAAGTGCCCATTCTGCACAGGAGGGGGATGAGTAGCCTTAGCTATGCCAACCTGAGCCTTGGTGGTTAGGGGACTTCTGTAGGATGGATAGCAATCCGCTGGCTAAATGTATACCCACAGCGGGAGCTAAACTGACATTACTTGCTCTTTGATAAGTAGGTTACTATGGTAAAGAGACACAGTCTCTTTGCTCTCCTTTTTCCTTAAGTCATGGTGGCTGCTATGTTCTGTGTGTAATTCCTTGCTGTACATTGACAATTGGTACAAGCCCCATCAAACCACAGGCCTCTGTGGGTACTGGCAGAATTCAGCTGTCTGTCTGTGTTGTTCCTCAAATTACAAAAGAATTTAAACAGAAGTTTAGTACCTAGCTTCCCAGGAAGCATATCCCCACGTACTTGCAGATACTTCAGTAACTTTTAGGCTTATCAGAGAGTCAGGCTGTAAGCAGAATTTTTCAGCCCTTATCTCTGTGCCAAAGGTATGTGACTTTGTGCTCCCCCTTCTGTTCTGACTCTCCACTTCCATTTGTCTGGGTTATACTTGTTTCCCTCACGTCAGACCTCTTGGCAACTGCTACCTAAACCCAGTATAGTTCTTCCTGAAAACATGAGCTTATAATGTGGAGTATGAGGCAGCATTTGCTCTAAATGGCACTACTGACTTCACATGTAATCAGGTGTGTACAGACCAAATTAGGCCTTTGGGAGTAGATCTGCAGACAGAACTTTCTAGGACTGTGGTAATGGTAATTAAATCAATCCGCCAGTCAGATACCGTAAGAAAAAAAAAGGAAAATTAGTTAACAACACGGACAAGACAGTTACTTTTTGTTCAATGTTTATAACTAAACGGGAAAAGACTTGCACTTAATTTTCACAATTTACGAAAAATGTTCATAAACTGAATGTTTTCCCCAGTAGATTACAGCTGGACCCAAACAAAATCATCCTATACGTACAACAGCCTATCATATCCATTTATTCTCAAAATCCTAACTGTGATCTGATGTAGATGGGAGACATTGCAGAGCAAACTCAGAAATATATTTTTTAATTAAGCATACCTAGAACTGAAGATGTTTTCAGCTCCTTTTTATAATGAAACTGATTGCACAGGGACAACGACAGTCTCCCAGGCAAGGAAACAAATATTTTAGATTTCAAAAATCAAAGCTAATAGCTTACAGTCCACTCTGTCCACTCCTGTTCTCCCAGGACCTTAATTTAGCATATATTCCACTGTGGTTCATTGCTGCTACTTACTTGCATTGCAGCCTGTCAGTTGAGACATTCCCTTTTATTTAGAAGGCATTAGCTACACTGCTAGCTTAGAGCCTAATTTGAAGTTATTGCTGGAAAGGTTGCAAAAAAATCCCAAGCCCTGCTATTATTGTTCAAGCTCAAATATTGCATGTTCACAGAAGTTCAGATTTGTCTAGTCCCCTTGAGGTGCAAGCAACCTAACACTCTTGACATTTAAATATTGTTTCTTTTCAAGTGTCCATTAAAATAAATGTAGACCTTCATATTAGAACATTTCATTTTGTAAAAGTTATGTCAAGCTTTTGTCAAGATTCACTTCTTTTAAAATAGATTTGTCATTGCAATGCAAGTACTTATTCTATTTTGTATTTCTCATCTTTAAGCAGGGAAGAATATTTTATAATCAGTAAAAAGATCAAAATCTACCTCTAGAGTACAGGATCATGGTCAAGATACTAATACAGCTCAAAGACAAAATCACTCCACCTCTTTTAATAACGGGTTTTAAATTTTCATTCAGAATAGATGTTCATAAAGTGTAATTTACCTGCCACTCTTACATATTGTAACAGTGCACTTCTTAAAGGTACCTTGTGAAGGTCTGTTTTTATCTCAGATTCTTTTCTGTGCACTGGATGTACTACGGTATTTTGGCCAGTAGTGGAATATCAGTGTCAGAATTACATCATATAAATCTCTCCCTCGATTGTCCTTAGGAATGATCCATGGAAAAAATGGTTCATCTGAGCTTTTGTCTCATGTGTACATTAGCAATTGAAGTCAAAAGGGAGAGGGGATGTGTAGTTTCCGTTTTTACTGTCAGTGCAATTCACCATATACATTGCAATACACAAGAACTTGCTTTCTTCAAAGTGGTTTTCTTATTTTACTGCATTTCAGTAATATAAAAAGACAGGACTACTTGATTCTTATGTCAATTAGAATGTTCCTTTTCTCTTCTAGGCAGTGGCTTAAATCTGAAGACATTCAAAGAATATCACTTCTTTTCTATAACAAGACTCTGGAAAAAGAAGTAAGTTATTTTCACTGCAAATTCATGCTTGGTTCCTTCTTTGCCTCATCCCAAGTGAAGCTTGTACCCCTTGCTTTTGTAACACAGAGCCATGGCCACAGCACCCCCCCTGCAGGGAGAAGTGCTCAAACCTTACAACAATATTTTAACTCATTTATGGAAGAAATTTTATGAATGTGATATCTGAGGCTGCTTTCCTGTTTGTAGGGCTCTGCAGTTCACTTGAATTTCTTGAAATTTTCATGGCCTCGCAAAAATGGGAGGAAGTTTGATAGTCCAAATTTGATGTAACTGGAGCAAAGAATTCCTAAGTTCCATCACCTACATCCTCAAAAGGCATTTATCAAACTCCACTCTGATTTTTTTTTCTTTTGCCATGTCAAAGATTCCACCTGTAGTAATGATAGTCTTGTAATGATACCAGTTGCTCATTAGTTTTCTCCATGTGAACTTGATGCTCACAGTCATTCTGGGGAAACAATATTGTAAATGTTTTTTTAAGAAAAATGCCTAGCTGTCTTGGATTCTGACTAATATGTGTGGTAAAACATGTTTGAGACATGTATGTACTGATGCAGTAAATGACACTGTTTCTAGTTCTTGGAGTAATGACCAGAATGAAAGATTCTTTCACAGCTCAGCAGAATAGTGTTCTTATGACCAGCTGCCAAAGGCATGTGTGTGCCCTTGGCAATACATTAGGGTGAAAAAAGTTTCAAGGCTTGTTGAGGCTGTTTAGAAGATGGCATCCGAGAGAAGAAGCTAGACCTGATATGGTCTCATCCATAGAGTTTAAAGGGTACACTGAGTGAGGGGATCAAAGGTGTGTCTAGAAGCACATTCAGATTTTAATGTGGGTAGTACTAACTGATAAATTCTGAAAGAGGACTTGAGAGGAAACCATCATGTGTGCACTTTGGAAAATCAGGGAATCAAGACTTGGGAGAAAATCAGGGAGCTGAATTATTCATCTCTGTAGATGCTCCTTGTAGGAGTAATCTCTTTCAGTCTGTAGAATGCCATGGAATGGCAAATAACTAATTGTTCTTTTCAGATCTGGCCTTCTAATATCTTTCTTCATTGCCTTTGAATGTCTCACCAGTCTAGTCTTGACTTTAAAGAACACATCAAGAAGCCTGCTTTTTTTTTTAAACAGGAGCTTTTCAGGCCCTGTAGGGCCTGAACACACAGCAAGGTAATGAAGCAAAATAATTATTTAACCTAAGGAGTGAGTCACCTGACTTCATTGGGAAATGTCTGGAGAAGTATGAAACACCAAAATGAATTTACAAGTGGGTTGGAATATTTTAAGATTTTAACAGCATCTCAAGGTCCAAAACTGTTGGACAAGACCGTTAAGAAACAACAAACATATTCAGCAAGTGGAAGAACAAAACTTGCTGCAAAAATACCCATCAAGCAAAGTCATATTTGTGCCTTGAAATTCAGTTAGGTATGTGATAAGAATTGCTTTTAATTTTTCATACAATTCAAAAGTGAAAAAAAATCCGTTGGGTTGCTAAACGAAATTTCTACATGTTCATGTAAAGTTTGGTGCAACAGTTACAAGGGCAGAACTTGGCACTAAGCACAAAGACACAGCTGTGTGCTTGCAGTTACAAAGCACAGCTCATGCACTTTCCATTTTATGAGGTTTGCATTTTGAGCACTTTTTGAAAATAATCTTTGCTGTGTTTTCTTTTAATAATCAAGTCTTAAACTCTTACCCTTTGAAAAAAACTTCGATAGGGTAAGTAACTCTAATAGGCCCAATACTTAGGTCATTTCCCTTTGAGTGCTTAATTGGTTTCAATCTAGACATATCTATCTCAAATAACAGAATGGCTCTGATAAATATTTCATTGCTTAATTCTTATGTCTCTAGACAGGCTAATTACAGATTCATAAATAGATTTTTTTTTGTGATAAAACAGATCAAATTGACTCTCTCCTAAGAATATCAAGTGTTTAGTAGTATCAGTGGACATATGAGGCCTTTTAACACAGACATGGAATATTTTAATTGAAGTAATAATATAGCTGTAGTACATACCAGTACGATTGCTAGCTATGCTGTTGGAAATAAAAAGTTTATACATATCCGTGGCAAGATCTACAGTTTGCTGCTTTGTGTGCTCAGAAGTTTCCTGTCTAAATGACTGTTACATTTTTTTATAACTGTTTCAGCCCATTCAGTATCTATTAATAATTGAAAATTAGTTCGGGGAATTAATGACTAAGAAACTTGGAATCGGCTAAGAATGGTTGGCCATTCCTAGAAATATTTTACAAAATGCTTTCACTTTTTTTTTTTAATTAAACTTTTTATGATTAATTTGGGTATCCTGTTCTGTGGAGGAACAACACAAAACCATTTGACATGACTACTTAAGCTGTTCTTCAAGAAGTAAAAGGATTCAGTGCTATGCCTGATAATCCCTATCCCTATGTGAGTGGATGTGGGAAGTCATTGAACAATGGGGAATTTACTGTTGCTAAAGACTGTCTATACATACCTGTATCTTTAAGCTGAAATTTCAGTTTGGTGATATTTTCTCTGCTTTGGAAATTGTGGGTTTAAACTTTGTTGTTTTTTTTTCTTCTAGTATCGAGCAACTACTCTGCCTGCATTTAAGTATTACGTGACTTGTGCCTGTCTCATATTCTTCTGCATTTTTGTTGTGCAAATTCTGGTATTGCCAAAGTAAGTGGTATTTAACATGTACTCATTCCTGTGTATATTTGCTCATTAATTTAAAAAATAAAAGCATACACGTAAAAAATTTCGGAATTGTCAGATTACAGAGCTGGAAATGGAAATGAAATTGAACGGAGAAGATTAAGAATTTCCGTCCATTTTCAGTTATGCTTGTTTCTAATTTTAAACACTGTCAATAACACGGTGCCAAGCATTAGTATCAACTCTTCATTCATTTTAGTTTTTCTCTTTGCATTTAAAAATGTGTGATGATGACAGGAATTAAATTAATATTAAAAAAAAAGTAATGCAAGCTGTAAGTTTATGCAACTGAAATTCCATGTAAAGTGTGACAATTGGACGTTGAAGTGGGACAAAATGGATTGCAGAATTGGGACTGTGATTAAGTATATGTATCTACCATATTACTGTGATAATACTGCTCTATTCAGCATGCAAACAGAGCGTTAATATTCATAAAATATCTCTTTTAAAAACCAATTCTAAAATATTATAATCGATTTCTGGAATAATTGTTTTTATCAGAATTTATATATTAAGATCTAATTTATATTTGTGCATATTCTAGAATGGCTGAGAAAACTGGAAGACAGTTCCAATAAAGAATATTTTATTAGACTTCTTAAAATGGAATTTTGCTGTTGATTGTTTACATAGTGGAAAGTTGATATTTGTTTTATAGCAATTGTTTCCAAAGCCAACACTGTATATTCCCTGTGATACAGTATTTCTTCACTAATAGTCTTTTCTCCTGTGCAGCACTTTCAGGAGTAGCATTTATAACCTCAGTTGATTGATTGGTCTTGTGCTGTTGTACTTACTCACATTTTAATCCAAAGCCAGAAGGAACTGTTAGGTCATTATAAATTGACTTTCCATACTGCAGACTTGTTTTATAACATGTATAAAGTTTTATGGACTTCTGTTCAGATGTTACAGCATTTTCTTTGCAAAGGGTTTCCCAGCTAGTTTCTAACACGGAGTTGCAAGCCGCAAAGGGACACTCTTCCAAGAGCTCGGCAGTGTCCTGCACATGGTTCAGTCTGACTTTAGGCATTACTATTGCGAAATGTGAAATTAAGACTCATGATTAATTTTATTTGTAATTTTGCATGAATGTATTTCACAAGCTCATACTGTATTTTGATTAGTACAGGAATTAGTTCAGGGAAATTTGTAGTTTGTGATATACCAAAAACCAAACTTGGATCTAACTAGTCCCTTCCTGCAGTATGATTTGATTTATGAATCTGTTTTTATGTTTTGATTTCAGTCATGAAAATGAATCTAGATTGATCATACATGTAGTAAGATGCTAATGTTGTTATATCCTTATTATGTCTCTTAAACCAGTTGTGTAGCTCATTAGAATATATCAGATACTTGAAATCAGTGAACTCTAGGGAGCTGTATTCAACTAAGGGAAGTGTCCTCCAACTTGTAAAAGCATATGCTTATATTACATGATCTCTTTCTAATATCAGGGCAAAAGATATAATTTATCATTTTCATTACCAAAACGTAAATTATCTTTTAGTCCTTTTATAGGCCTGCATATTAAATTGTAAAAGCAAGAGTGTAAAATCAAGTATTACCAACATGAATGGTGTTCAGCTTCAAAGGGTCTGTCGATTGATTGAAGAGATGCAAAAATGGAAGACAGAAAGGCAAGGTATATACAGGCATCTGCATCTTTGCTGGAAAACTGGGAGCATTGAAAACTTAAAAAAAAAAAAAAAAGTTGAAAAATCACCAGTTTATGTAGTCATCACAAATGTAGCTTAAATTGAACATACTCCAGTGCGGCAAAAATTATTTCCTTCCAGCAAAAAATAAAAAAATAAAAAATAAATGAATCATAGTTTAGTCTAAAATTCTGTCTAGCCTTTTTATTTTCTTTCAAAAATTCTACAGGATTTTTAAATGATGAACAGGGAGATAAACTGTGGCTGTCATTGGGTTTCATTGATTCACTATTCCATTAATCTGGTTTTGCAGCATTATAATATCATTGATTTCTGTGCAGGCACACCACCTGCTGCTTTAAAGTAGATTTGGAGATATTTGATGGTGAGTAACACCCAGCAAGTTGCAAGTAATATCTCCAAGATCATGAGACATTTATTTAAAGGCTGAAATAATTTATTAATGCTTTAATTTTCCCGGGATCAATAAACCAATGTGATGTTTTCATAATAAACTTTACACAAAGTGGTAAATACAAATGTAATCAAGTAAATAATATCTTGGGGTGAAATGTATCATGAGGAGTAGGTCTTTATTCTGACATTAAAATGACAGCAAATCTTGATCATTACATTTCCTTGGAACAGGCCTTCAGTGTCTCTCTAGCATTCTTGGTTTACCAAGTGACAGAAGTATCTCTAGTAATTCACAACAACCTTACGTTCTTTATTTAGGGAAACAGTCCACTAGCATGGAATTGGTAGTGTTGTTTTTTGAAATGCAAACTGATGAATTGATGAAAGTATATTCCTATTGAACAGGAGTTACTTCTTGTGCTGTTTCAGTAAGGGCTTTGTTTGGGGCTACGTTTAAGACTCTTCCCAAGTCTTCGGTCTTCAGTCTCTGAGGCTGCCATGTTCAAGAGCTTGTGTCCTTTTGTCCTGAGTCAAGCCAAACTAACAATCATCTTGTTCTACCCAGGGAAGGTGGTTAGGAGGCCTTAACAGAGTAAATCCAGTCAGGCACAGCTGAATATCTTTATAGAAAAGGTAGTACGTCTAAACTTAAGCTGAAAGCAGGCATCTAAAACATAAGAGAGTATCAATGAAAGAAACCCACCGTTACTAGCTATTTTTCATAGAATCATAGAATGTTTTGGGTTGGAAGGGACCCCTAGAGGTCATCTAGTCTAACACACCTGCAGTGAGCAGGGACACTGCTAGCTAGATCAGGTTGCTCAGAGCCCCATCCAACCTGGCCTTGAATGCTTCCAGGGATGGGGCCTCCACTGCCTCTCTGGACAACCTGTTCCAGTGTTTCACCACCCTCACTGTAAAGAATTTCTTCCTTATATCCAGTCTAAACCTATCCTGTTTTAGTTTAAAACCATTACCCCTTGTCCTGTCACAGCTGGCCTTACTAAAAAGATTTTACCCATCTTTCCTATAGGCCCCCTTTAGGTACTGAAAGGCTGCAATCAGGTCTCCCCGCAGCCTTCTCTTCTCCAGGCTGAACAAGCCCAACTCCCTCAGCCTGTCCTCATAGGAGAGGTGCTCCAGCCCCCGGATCATTTTTGTAGCCCTCCTCTGGACCCGCTCCAACAGTTCCATGTCCTTCTTGTGTTGAGGGCTCTAGAGCTGGACGCAGTACTCCAGGTGCGGCCTCACCAGAGCAGAGTAGAGGGGCAGAATCACCTCCCTCGACCTGCTGGCCATGCTTCT